ACTAACATGCTGCAAATTCACGCCCCCTCCCCCCCCCCACCCCGAGTGACGAAGAAGATGCATAGAGCAACTCTTCATAAATATACCCAAGAAATTTCATGATTATAGGACAAAGGGTTCTGGAATTATGGCTAATTAATTATTCATATGTACGAATGGTTATTCTGGTTTGTGTACGCTGCGTATATGGGAAAATTCGCATGGCACCGGAAAATTTTTCGCTGCGCAACAACCCCTGGTCTGATTTTTATATTTTTTTGTTGTCAAAAGATGCGCAAGGCTCGAGGCTAAAAAGTCATAACAGCTCAGGTTGCGAAACAATTTTTTTAAAGGCTATCGCGGAAAAAGTCGAGGGGGTGGCGAATTCCGCCCCGGCTCTTTTAGGGTAAAAAAAACCCCACATTTTTGATTTCTCCTTCGTTACATCAAAAGTAAAAAACTACGCTGGGTTAGGTTTATCCGTCGCCAAAATGAGGGGACGTGAGGGAACACGTATCTGCCCCGCCCCGGAAATCAGTATCAACATTTCTAAAATTATATCATGAAAGTGTGCTCCGTGGAATATGGTGGCGCAAAGGAACTGCTTTTGGTGGAGGGGGGGGGGGGCATGTACAGCTTACATGTTTAATTGTTTGCAATTGTTTTTTTCATTAAATGTATGTATTAATAATTCATGTTATAGGGGATTCCTACTCGACAAGCTCTACTTTTTTGGAAATACCCTTCCTTCATCTCTAATTTAAAAATAATGCGCTCAAAGTCTATAAATCTATTTCTTAAAACCAGTACCCTATCAATTCCTTAATATATTACATAGTGGTGTTTCCTAACTTGGCACACTTCGACGTTTACCTTGACTTTCTTCATGTAGTGTTGCCAAACTTATTTGTTGATAAACTTCAAATTCAGTCCGTGAAATACTGGTACTTACGCCTTATTACTGCGGCGCGGGTTATACCTCTGTAAACTATTTCGGTGTCATGAGATTATATTCCGAAATTCAAAAACGGTGGCATCTGGAAATTGGGCACACAAACGGCTGAATGTTCCCTAACGTGGCGCACTTAAATAAATATCGGAAAATCCCATTGAAGAATTCTGTAAAGTTTATAAAATCTGATAAACCATTATTATATACCCAACTGGAAGTTTGTCAGAAATTATTTCCTCATTTTGGGGGATATTTTCAAAGGTTTACCCATGCACTTTGCAATAAAATAGGAAAATCATGTCGAAATAATGGTTTGTTGTAACTTTGTAACAGGAATCGGATTAACTCGTGATTTAGGAACGGGAGTGTTTAGAACTCGATGAAATCATGAAATTATACCAGTTTTTGTGAAAGTTCAGTACAAAACTGTTGCTCTAGATAGCGCGACAGACGAACAAGCAAAGTACACCACGTCAGTGGCGGCGCCATGCTATGTTACATCATACATCAACAAATATCTATTTATGCCTTGAATATGGGATTTAATGGTAATAACACCAGTCCAGTTAAAATGCATAGAACAACAATTGATTGTTTGTTGGTTTATAAAACAGGTTTGACAAAAATTAATGATCAGTAATAACAGATTAATTAAAATAATCACGGCCGGACCATTTGGAATAACCATAGAGCAAGGAATATGAAAACATTAAATTGTTTACAGTTTAAGCTTGTGTAAGCATGGAGGTGTTCCTTCCTCCATGGTGTAAGTAATCTCGCCGTCGGTTGAATATTCTCTCCCAGAACTTGTCTGCATGGTTGACATGCATGTATTACAACTCCAGTTCTCTTTCTCAGTGGGCGCTACATTTCAGCATATTCTCGTTTAGATTTTCGTTTTCCAAGTTGTATTTTTCTATTCCTTCCTCCATGGTACAACTATAGGTCCTTGCTATACAACCATGTCCAGTAATATATTATAGTGCATGCAGCAAACCTTAATGTCTGGAAATAGAAGCAATTAATATAAGGTTTCAACTCAGTGTACAAAGTGTACGTTACATTAACATATTAAGATAGCATGCACATGCATGGCCTTGTGCAGGGCCAGGCCCTGACCACAGTTTCCCCACATACACTTTGTTAGGCAACGTTACGTAAATCTCACTGATAGCTGAGCTAGACAAGGTCACTGGGCCGATGACCACCAGTGATTGTATGCTCTCTCATTGGTTGTATCTGTCAGTGCACAAACCATCGGCGCTGTTGTCTTATTGGCTCATTCTAGTTTGTACACGAACCATCGGTACCGATGGTTCGTGTACATTCAATTAAATGTCACTTCTATCGAGAGTGTCCGAGTAATGCACTAAGTAAACTATGTACACTAAGTAAACAATGTACACCAAGTCAACAACGTACACTAAGTAAACAACACACACCAATGTAAGTAACGTACGCCAATGTAAATAACACAAGCCAATGTAAGTAGTGCACGCCAATGTAAATAACACACGCCAGTGTAAGTAATGCACGCCAATGTAAGTAATATACGCTGTCAGCCTTAACCTGATTAACGTTTACCCATGCAAGCTAGCGTCAGTATCGTACAGTACATTCTAGTACGGCTGCGCGTCAGCCTCACACAGCGCAACTTCAGCACCGTAATTAGGACCAGCGCAATTTACACAGTGCGCGTCAGCATTACCCAAACACAGAGCGCGAGCAATATACGACCTTACCGTCCCCTGTCCACAGCACAACTCCTCCTCGCGATCACGTGAATAGCCCTCACGTGAACATGCATACGCCCGCACAAACACATATGCATGTACTAAACCTATGGGCCTTAGACAACCAATAGCGTACGCGCATTCAGCCACTGGGCTCTTACGCTCCGCCCAGTCACCAACACACAGTGAATTTACGTTCGTGCAATAGGGATGACGTTGTAAAAAAAACTAGCTATAAGTCCCCACACTTTCCGCTACATAGGCCCGAGCATGGTGGGGTATGGCCTCATACACCATAACCATAATAAAAATAAAAGGAAAGTGTACCTAAACCTTAACTTCCTCTTTATCATTCAATATAAAACATAAGGTTTAACTTTTCCTTTAAAGTTCAATAGAAAACATAAAATTTAACTTTTTCTTTATAAATCAATAAAAAAACATAAGACTTAACTTTTTGTTTATAATTCAATATAAAACATAAGAAGGGGGGCAGATTTCTGAGCTCATTAAATATTCACAAGATTCCTGTGCACAGTAAAAGGTACACAAGAACACCAAAATTTACCTCATTAAATATTCACAAAATTTCAGATGGTAAGATTATACAAGAATTTTACAGACAATTCACACTGCATTTTTACACAAATTCATCATGAAATTCTAAGATAAACTTAAGACAAATTTTTGGACGGATTTTAACTATATGTACATGCCTATACGTGCTTGAAAAATGGGGCAATAACTTAGACTCCGGGAAGTGGACAGACTTCCCTTTTGACGAAGTCCCCGCTTGAAATTTAAGGTTAATCTGAACACTGATTTGAACTTATGTACACAGATTTTTAACTATCTAATTTACACTAATTTTTTAAATGTCAAATTTACACAAATTTTTAAATGTCCAATTTACACTAATTACAAGTTTACAAAAGATTTTTACAGATTAGAAAATGGAATGATTTCAGTAAGTCATTTTACGATGATTGAAAAGAAATTTAGCCTATGTACAAGATTATGCACACCTTCGAAGTTTCCATGAATTTCAATATTTACAAAATTGTCAATTTCTAGGAAGAATTAAATCGTGCATTAATTATGTGTCTTTTTGCATATAATTTGGTTTTCACATGATTTTAATTTCTTGGCCGACAAACTTTAAATAGAACACTTAACCTATGAACAAATATTAGACTTATGAAATGTTTAACTTACACAACACTATAAACTTTAAGAACTTGGAACATAAGAACTATGTACACACTTTACTTTCCGGTGGGTCGGTTCTGCTCGTCCACCTCGATGGCCTTGATGTAGGATGTTCGGTGTTCTTCCTTCTTGACCAGCGCTCCGTCCAAGAACACCTCCACTCTGGTGAACTCCTTCACCTGGGCCATACGCATCAACTTGGCCGAGGCCGTGGACCTGGGCGTCTCCATGGACATCTCGCTGCCCAAATCCTGGCCTTCCAAGGAGGGCATGGATGATGCTGGGCTATTGGGTGGGGACACCTCCACGGTTTCCATCAGCTGGAGCATAGCTCGAGGCTTGCCTCGCTGTCCATAGGGGAATCGGCAGGCCGTGGAGACTGGACTGGACCCAGCAGGGGGGACAGGGGGTAGGCGAGAGGGACAAAACAGCCGTGTCTTGGGCCGTCTCGTCAATTGGTGGGCCGGTCGCAGGGGTCTCTGGTGGGGGGTTTGCCAGACTTACCGGTGTGTCTTTGGGAGCTAGCGGGCTCCCAGTCACTACCGGTTCTGCCGAAGAGTTGGACTGGTACCTGGCCTTCTTCATGGCTGGAGTTGAGACGCCTGGTGGAGCATTGTTGCCCAACAGCTCCGGGTGGCACATCTGTATGTGCTCCTGCAGGGTGGAGACGACACCAGCCTGGTAGGCGCACTTACTGCAGTGCAGGACGTTCGTACCCTTGTGAACATCGTTGATGTGGCGCCAAAGACTCTGGCGATGCACAAACCAGATGGGGCACTGCCGACATTGGAAGTGTCTGGGGGCCTTCGTGTTGTTCTTCTCCTGCGGCATCTTGCTCTGTGTATATATTAACCTGAGGGAAAGTACAAGAAAGATTATTAATCAACAACAACTAGTCAACTTAGGCTATTTACAAACACTTTTCAGGGTAGAGTCGTCCCCAGAACCCTTATCTATACCGCAAGGGTAGTTGATGGGTTCTTTTGGGGTATCGTCTGGGCGGTGACAAGTCTTGCTGCCCCGACTGATTGGCTTGACTTTCAGACCCTGACTCGTCTGCAATGGCATCTTGCATTACAGGAGTATTATCTTCGCCCTCGAAGGCCAACTCTTCAGATGAGTTCTTGTCATCTGGAACTGTTGTCAGTTCTTGGGGGAGGTTTTTTAGCCACCTCATCCCTGGACTGATCTTCCCATTTGTTTGGACTGACACACGGTTTGAGTCTGTCCACATGAACAACTTTGGGCTTGCCTCCTTGTTTAGGCTGGATTCGAACTGTTACATCCAATAGCTTTTTCAGAATCAGCCATGGCCCTTCCCACCTCAACTGGAGTTTGGGGGACATGTGCCTCTTCTTTGCTGGGTTGTGAAGCCACACTAGTTGGCCTTCCCTTAACCCATGCTCGGATGCTTTTCTGTCATAGTTCTTCTTCTGCCTTCGGGCACTTTTCCCGAGACACTCTCTGGCTCTTTTGTGAGCATCTTGCATGTTACTTCGCAGTCTTTCTGCAAAGTCTACGGTTGTGTCTTCCTCAATTTCGGGACAACCTGTCACCAAATCTACCGGGATGGTCACTTCCCTTCCCAGTATCATCATGTTGGGGGTTTCACCGGTGGACTCATGTGGCGTGCACCTATAGGCGAAGGTGGCATAGGGGAGGAACTCATCCCAATCCTTCTGCCTTCGCATAGGGTCTATTAGCACTGCCACGATGTTGATCAAGGTTTTGTTAAACCTCTCAACCATGCCATCCGATTTCGGATTGTAGGCGGTTGTTCGAGTTTTGGATATGCCTAGAATTTGGCACATCTTGCAGAACACACCTGACTCAAAGTTGGTGCCCTGATCGGAGTGGAGTTCTTGGGGAACCCCAAACCGACACACTATTTCGTTTACCAACTTATGCGCGACTGCGATTGCAGTAGCGTCAGGAAGTGCGAATGCTTCCATCCACTTAGTGCAGTAGTCGCCAACTACCAACACCCATCAGTTACCATTGTCCGTTGTGGGCAATGGCCCGAGCAAGTCTATTGCTACTCGCTCCATTGGCACCCCAACTCGGTACTGCTGTAAAGGTGATAACCAATAGCAGCCGACTTCCTCCTGGCACAGACATTGCATCCTCGAAGGAAGGACCGCACGTCTGCAGACATGCCTGGCCAAAAGTATCTAGCTTTCAGTTTGGCCAAAGTTTTACTGACCCCTAAGTGACCACTAAGCTGCCCACCATGCAACTCAGCCAGAATTTCCTTGCGGACCCTTGGGGCACACCAATAGTCACCGGATGGACTTTCCGTCTTCGGAGTCCCACCGTTTATGCAGAACTCCCTTATGGACCTCCAACTGGTCCTACTGCGACCAATAGGTCTTGCATGTTGCTGATAAGTGGGAAATTGTCTTCCACTCGGGTCGACTTTGACCATCTTCCTTCAACCTTATGAGCCAACTCACGGTATCATCCTGCAGCTGTGCTTCTCTTAAGACATCTTGCGACAGGGTTGGTTGGGCAGCCACGCCCCTAACCAAGAACTCACTCCCTTGAGGTTTACCCTCGGGTACTTCACCAGTTGTCTCATATTCTTCATCACGGCCGCACTGTTTGCATGGCCGTCTGGACATCCCATCAGCATTTCCATGCTTCTTTCCGCTTCTGTGCTCTACGACTAAGTCGTATTGAGACAGGACTTCCATCCACCTCGCCAGCTGACCCTCGGGGTTCTTAAAATTAAGTACCCACCGCAAAGCGGCATGGTCAGTTCTGACGGTCACCTTTCGGCCATACAGGTATTGTTTGAAATACTTCAAATATACCACCACAGCCAACAACTCTTTGCGAGTGACACAGTAGTTCCGCTCAGGTTTGCTGAGCTTCCGGCTTGCATAAGCAAGCACTTTCTCGTCACCATCTTGGACCTGGGATAGCACCGTCCCGATACCGTCACCACTGGCATCGGTGTCCAAGATAAAGTCATCCTCAGGCACTGGGTATGACAGAACCGGAGCAGCTTGAAGCCTGCTCTTCAGCTCGTCAAATGCCTGTTGACAACTCTCAGTCCATACAAACTCCTTTGACTTCTCGGTCAGGGCATGGAGTGGGCTCGCAATTTTTGCAAATCCCTGTATGAACTTCCGGTAGTACGAGGCGAGGCCCAAAAAGCTTCTCACATCTCGTACACACCTTGGAATTGGCCAGTTTGCCACCGCTTCAACCTTTTGGGAGTCTGTGGCCACGCCTTCTGATGACACGATGTGCCCCAGGTAAGCAACAGACTCCTGAAACAAATGGCACTTGCTGGGCTTTAACTTCAGCCCGGCGTGTCTTAGCTGATCAAACACCACTCAGAGACGTTCTAAGGTCTCCGGCACTTTTCTACCGAACACAATGATGTCATCCAAATATATCAGTAGGATTTCCCACTGTAAGCCGGCCATGACTTTTTCCATGAGCCGCTCAAAGGTTGCCGGGGCGTTGCAAAGCCCAAAGGGCATGCACTTCCACCGATACAACCCATTTTTCACAACAAATGTGGACTTTTGACAGGCGTCCTCATCAAGAGCGACTTGCCAGTACCCCGAAGTTAAGTCGAGTGTACAGAACCACTTTGCCCCTTGCAATGCATCGAATGTTTCATCGATGCGCGGGAGAGGGTAAGCATCTTTGACGGTGACTGCATTCAGCTTTCTGTAGTCAACACAGAAGCGCTTCTTACCATCTTTCTTGTCAACCAGGACAACATTGGCTGCCCAGGGACTATCGGAGGGTTCTATTACTCCCCGCTTCTCCAGGTCGCTTATTTGCTCCTGGATTTCCTGCTGATGCAGGTACGGATGACGCCTCACCCGCTCTTTGATCGGCCTAGCATCACCAGTGTTTATGTGATGCTTGACCACGTCCGTCCGACCGATGTCATGGTCACCCTTGGACATTACCATGGTACTTGGCCTCTACTTTGGCTGTACCCTTTTCATATAAGTCTTGCAAATGCAGGGGCAACTCCTTCCCTGTGTTTGCCTCTGCGTTCAATTCATCATGAATAGAACTTGCCTCAACTTGGGAGATAACCCCCGCTGTTGTTCCCTCACGGGCAACTCTTTTCTCCCTTCCGGGATTGAAGACCCGCAGCGGAACAACATCGGCTTCAGTCTCAACCAGAGATCTGGCCAACATCAAGCCTTTCTTGGCTAGGTCTCCACCACCTTCAACCGGTTCGACCATGGCTGGCCCGAGCAAGTCGGGACCCTTCCGAGCAAATTTGCCGGGGACCACAGCTTCATGACCTGGTGGGATTACCGTAGTTTTACAAACTACAACGCGTCCCACAAAGGGCTTGCCTGCATCATTTGTGCACTTGACCCACTCACCATTGAGCCTCCACTCCCTTAATTGGAAGTCTATGATTCCACCTGTTGGCACGAGAAAATCCATACCCAGGATACCACTGCATTTGATCTCAGCAAACACAGCCTTCACTTGGTGCGTGGTCCTGCCAACTTGCACCTCAACCAGAGCCATGCCAAGCACAGCTAACTGGCTTCGGTCCACCTGTTTGACTTGGACATCTACCGTCTCCAATACGGGTCTTTTCCCAAGACGGGATTTGGTAATACACCGCACTACTGATTAGAGTGTCGGTGGACCCCGTGTCAATCAAGAATCGACACTTGGTTGCTCTTACCAACCCATTCACAAACAACCCATACCGAGGACCACGGCTTGGATCAGACAGAGTTATTACTCGTTGCCCATCCTCCCGTTTGGACCTCCCATTTCCATTTTTGGTTTCATCACCGAGTCTACTTTTGGACCCTCTCGACCACTCAGCCTTCCCGCGGGTCCTCTGGGGGGCTGACTGTTGTTTCCCTGCTTTGAAGTTCCTTTACACTCCCGGGCGAAATGCCCTCTCTCACCACATTTGAAACACTTAAAGGTTCCAGGTTCGGCTTTCCCGGGCTTGTGTGTCTTCTGAGACACCATGCCCTTGCCTTGTCCCTGGCCCTTGCTCTGGTCGGACAATGCCTTGACCAACTCAGCCACAGATTTCAATGTCTTGGCCTGCCCATTGAGACTTTCCTCTAGAGTCTCTAATCTCTGCTCTGTTACAGAGTCCAAAGCCCTTGCCAATTTGGTGGGCTTTCGGTCCAGCAACCTATGCTGTTCGCCCTTTTCAAAATTCTCAGTCTCCAGGTCAGCCCGGACTGCTTCGTCCAAAGTTTTTGGACGGGCTCTGTTGATGCCCTCTCTAATTGAGTGGCTGTCAACTGCATCTATGAAGTGGTTCTTTGCCAACTTCTCTTGAGCTTCTTCCTGTATTTCAGGGTATGCTCGCACCGTTAACTCATGGATTGCTTGCCCTAATTCTAGCAATCCCTCTTTCTGCTTTTGGCGCCAGTGTCTTAGCTCAATGAGATAATTCTCACTCTGGCGAGCTGACCCAAACCTGCGCTCAAGCAACTTGACAAGCGCAATGTACGTGTGTTTTTTGCCCAGAGTCGCCCATCAACCGTAGAGCATCCCCTTGCAAGCTTGCGGATAACCACTTCGCAGCTTGCTCTTCGCTCCACTGGTTTACCTCACGGCATGACTCGAAATGGCGGAAGTACTCCTTCCAGAGCACTTTCCCGCTGTACCGGTCAGGGGTTATATTTGGCCTACGATTTGGTGGCCTTTCACTTCCCTTCAGACCTAAGTCGCCATGGACACGTGCCTCTCGTTTCGGTGGCCAAGGACCTACTTACGAGCTGTCCACTCTTTCAGCTGAACTGCTGTTTTTCGCCTCGACTGGTCGAGTTGCGAAACTTAGCAGATCGCTGTGCACTTGTGTAGGGTTCACTTTTTCCCTATCACAAACGAACGGGTTAGTGCTTGGCTTACCCTGTTCTACGCCATCTTGCCCAGACAGGAACAGCGTTAAGTCGTCTATGACTTGACTCTCGCGTCCCAAGGCGATTGGCGTCGACCCTGCTCGGGGTTGTATCCTTGAGCCTGAGTCTTTTAGAGGCGTACTTTCCATAAAGCTCACCTCCCTCCCACTTTTGTGGGACGAGTCAGTCACCATCTTTGTGTCTGACTCTCGTCTCCCCGTTGCTCCGGAGACATACCCAGTAGTCTCTTCGGGCAACCTCAGTTCAACATCGGTATCCACCTGATGGAACATACGCCGGCTCCCACCTGGCGTGATCGTGTTCCTTCCATTTGGGGAACCACCCGACTGCATCTCCATGGCAGCCTCCAACTTCTTTGCAATGAGATCTTTTTACCACTGCAGAAATTGAGCTTCCATTCGCAGTCGCTGCACCTCGGCCTCAGCACTTGAGGTGCCCGCTTGACCCTGCGAGCCTTTGCTCATAATTGAAAACAACCACAACAATCACACACAAAAACAAACAACAAACAACCGATTAAACCACAGTACAATTAGCAATACAATGCAAAACACAATGTGCAATCAAATAATTTAGCAGAGAAATCACTTAATCAATCATAATCATCCCACTTCTGACACCATTTGTGGCGGGAATCTCCTCGGTCCAAACCTAAGTTCGTTTGGACCAAGTCTGACACCTATTAGAGTGTAGCTGATCTTCCCGAACGCAAGCTTTCCCAAGACGAGAGACCACTCAGAGCGACCTCAAGGCCTAGGGAGCAGGTCCGTTTTGGAGGAAATATACCGCCGATTATGATGATTGTGATTACCCTCTGTTAATTGCACAATAAACCAACAACAACTTCGCCTGGACAACAGGAATGTCGGCATCACAAATATGATCGTAATTTATTATACAATAATCAAGAAATATGCAGAAGTGATTGAGACTTAATGAGGTTGTTAATTATCGGGGTCACTTAAATACACTTGCAAGTCAGCTAACAGCTCACCTAAGCAGCAATTAACGCGCACAGCTTGAGCAATGCGCCCAATGTAAACAATGCATTGGTAAGTCAACAAGGT